ACTAGTTAAATGAAACCAATGCAAACCTTAAATACTTAAGTATCAGTTAATTAACTGAATGATATTAAACAGAGCATGGCGAAGATCAACTAGGTAACAATTGTCACTTGGGCAGTGGCAGTGCCACATGTATCAGGTGTGAATTGACATTTCTTTATCAAAAAATTACACACATATATATTCTTTAACTTTTTTTTTGTAGATTTATTCTTTTATTTATTGATATTCTTTAGTGAAAATTCTGATTTAATCGCTTCGAAATAATGGCAAGGCTCAAGTTAACTAGTTAAGAGAGCAAGTTGTCATTGCAATTTGCCTTTTAGAATCTTGTCCTAATTTACAACTCTGCTCATATTATATGGTTTGACCTAGTAGAACTAAAACAAACAAAAGGTATAATTGATCATTTTCCCGTATCGCTATTTAAAATTCGACGTATATCGTGTGAATATTGAAGCAAATCTTTAGTCTTAGAAAATTAATGAAAAATTCAAAATTGGCTTGCTGTCATGTGAATGAAGCAAACGTGCAGACAGGAATTAAAATAAAATATATTAAAGCTTATTCTCTTGCCAATAAATAATACTGTTCATCTTATTTTTTTTAAAAATCGAAGTGTATATACTTTTGCATGATGATCAGACGTGTTCCTCGAACGTGGTTTGCTAGTTGCACTGTTCCTTTATTTTTAAAATTCCTATTCCCATGGACAAATAGCTATGACTTATTTTAAAATAAGATATGTAGAATCGTTTATTTTATAGTTATAAGATATTATTTGATCTATTCTAATTTTTGGATTTACACTCTATTCTTTGTTGGAAATGTGTAGGGTTGATAAATTTGCATATTTCATAAAATCAATTTCATTTAACTAGTCGATTTTAGTAGTCTCCAACAAATTAATTTTACAACCATTAGTCTTGTAGTCTTTCTTACACTTCAGTTTTTGTAATATGAGTTGAGAAAAAACAAAAACTTGATATTCACTCGAATTAAATGATACAATGTGAAAGTGAAATAAATGGGGTGTATTACGAATCAAAGTCGAAATTGATATGGGCTTAATTATAATTATCTAACAGTAGACATTGACCATAGTGGACATTTGAAAAAAAATAAAAAGTAATAATGTAAAAGTAGGTTTATTGAAAAATTTAATTTTGATTCAAGTCATTTGAATCACTATATAGATCTATAATTTCATTTCTTGACTAAACTTAAGGACTAAGGAAGTTTCCACAATTAAGATGACGGACTATATAGATAGGCTTGAAAGTCAAAACATAATTACTAATGTTATCATAAAATGATAAGTATTTCTTTATGCTTTATCAGAAATTTCACATTCTAGCTCTGAAAATAAAATCGAGGTGCTTTATCCCAAAATTGACCTTCCTACTTGAATTTGAAATAGCCAAATTATAAATAGGAAAATCTAAAGATTTATGGACTTATTTCATTAAAAATAAAATAAAATGCCATTTTTGACCTTTGAATACGTAATGTATGGTGAACCACTCCGGTCTCCTCTTGTTATACCCGGCCCAAACTTATTTGGTCAATGAAGCCCAAACACCATTCCTGGCCCACTATCTTTCCTAATAAGCCACTTAGAATCACCCACGTGTCGACATTTTCCAACTTTACCGGAAAAGTCCCCGAACCGTGCGTTGTGCAGTCACGTAGAATAAACGACAACTTGACGCCGTCAAAGGAATCCAACGTCTCCCGTTTTTCCTCGAATAAATCAACTGACACACACCACAGTATTTCTTTTTCTTTTTTATTTATTTCACGGAGGCATTTCATCGATTTCCGTTATTTTCCCGAACCGCGTGGTTCGGAAACTAAGCCTGAGGTTTGGAAATCTGGCTCTTTAAGCCTTTCAATATTTTCCCTCTTTCACACACTTTTTGCAAGCGTAAGAATAAGTCACTCAAAAAGCACCCATCAACAAAAAATCCCCAATTGCCGGCGGCACACGTTAGTGAGATCGGAGTATACGATGGCCGATCACGCCGGCGAGCACGAATCAGTCGTTGAATCCGTCATGGAAAAGATAAACGACAAGTTGCACGACCACGATTCTTCCTCATCGGATTCTGAAGATGACAAGGAGAAAATATCGTCGGTCGATGCCGTCAAGGCAAAGATCTATCGTCTCTTTGGCAGGGAAAGGCCCGTACATAAGGTTCTCGGCGGTGGAAAACGTACATCTCTCTCTCACTCACAATATCTATTTTTCTCGCATAGATTTATGTAGTTTATGTTTTAAAACAGTATGTCTATACTTCAGAATGTGTTTAGATTTATTTGGCATTGGTGTTGAGATGCGCTTTAATTTCTTTCCTTTTCTAAAATCTGAAATCAGAGATCTATCGAAATAGTTCGACCTCCATTCATTCGTTCGTTTATTATGAAAATATGTAGCTAACATTTGGATCCAGGCGAGCGTTTTTCTATTGTTGTCCTTTTCTAATACAATATTATTCATTAGCTTCGCATGGATCTGACATTGGTTGTATTGTTATTTTTCATCATGAAGTATGATTGCTCGAATTGGATTCCTGGTGAATTCTTTCCTCTTTTCCTTTCCTTTACTAGTAGTGGTACATAGCCTCCCCACACATCACTGGTAGGATTACACTGTATATGTTGTTGTAGTAGTAGTGGTACATGGCGAGATTTAATTGATTACACTGCAAAGATACTATTTGATAACTGTAAATCAATGATGTACTTGCATGCTTCGATGTTACTCGTATTGGTAGTCCATGGACTGAAGAAAACAGTTCCATCAGTAGATTTTGTAGGCCAATTTTGAATTTTCATGTAACAAATGTATATTTGATATACAAATCTAACTTTGGAAGCATGAATTTCTGACTCTCGAAGAGCAAAATGATTTTTTTATGTCAAAAGTTCAGGGTGTGAGTATCATTAGATATTTATTTAAGCACGTGGAATTGTCCATTTCTCCTTTGAAGAGTTCAGGTTCCTTGAATGACTTGAAATTGACAGAGCTATTCTAGCTTTTCACACCCCCTTCTCTTTGGGCTTTGAGTCATAGTGCTAGTGTGCATGTGTCTACTAGGCACTTTTTAGTTTTTACGTGCATTAGTCAAGATTTGAACCTTTTATATGTAGGATTCATCTACTTTTGCTTTGGCCCAAAATAGCCAAGTGTTTTTTCGCCTCCCAGGTGTCTTCCACCCCATTTTTTTCAAACTCCTTTTTTTTGCCTACTTTTAAAGTTCATAGAATTTGAAGCTTCAGTAGATGTATCTGATGTGTAGTTAAACAGTTACGCAGTTTTCTTTTATATCTATGCGATTATGTTTATGTATCTAATTACTCAATTCTTATGGGCAGCTGCGGACATTTTTCTGTGGAGGGACAAGAAAATTACTGCCGGTGTGCTTGGGTTTGCCACTTCACTTTGGGTGCTTTTTGAGTTGCTTCAGTACCATTTGCTTACACTTGTTTGCCATATACTGATCCTTGCATTGGCAGTCCTTTTCCTTTGGTCCAATGCATCCACCTTCATCAACAAGTAAGTATACTCTTTATCTTCCTTAGTAATTTGTCTATCCAGATATACGTTAGTCCTTAGGATTAACCTTGAAATATATGCACCAGGTCTCCACCCCAAATTCCAGATGTCATTCTGCCTGAGGACATTGTCCTGGGTGTTGCTGCTGCACTCAGGATTGAAATAAACAAAGCTCTTGAAATTTTTCGGGATATTGCCTCTGGGAAGGAGTTGAAGAAATTCCTCGCTGTATGTTATCATGTCCTTCTTGTTGTATAATTCTCTCCATTATCTTGAGAGAATCAGCTTGATTACTACTTCCTGTTTAGTTCTTCATTTGAGTGTCACCTCTTCCATGCTTTAATACAAAAATTACATGCAGGTTATTGCTGGTTTGTGGGTTCTTTCTATATTGGGCAACTGCTGGAACTTCCTCACTTTATTTTACATATGTAAGTGATCTACTCTAATGTTGCTTACTTGGGTGTGTATAGGATGTATTATTCAGTAAAATTCTAATAGTGCGTGTGATCTCTTCTATCTGCAAAAACAGGCTTTGTATTGCTCCATACCGTCCCTGTACTTTATGAGAAATTTGAGGACCAGGTTGATGCTTTTGCTGAGAACGCTGAGGCAGAGATCAAAAAGCAGTATGCTGTTTTTAACGTCAAGGTTCTAAGCAAAATTCCAAGAGGTCCACTGAAAGACAAAAAGTTCTTATAGACATGAATAGGTGGCACCCTTTAGGTTCCTCTGGTTGTTGTGATTCAGTTATGGTAGAAAACCCTTTGTTTACTTGTTTTGCTTGATTATTACTAAACAGGCTTGGCGTTTTTGTGGTAGTTTTGAGTTCCAGATATGGTTTTCTTTTTTGTTAAATTTTGAAAAACTGCTGTAAGATTTTGGCAGTCATCATGTGACGTAAAACATCAATATGCAAGTGAGTGTTGCTTTAAATTATAAGTCAGATAATGGAAACACAACTTTGATTCTTGTTTGATAGCAACGCCCCTGTGAGTGGCTACTCTAATTCTGGAACGATGCAAATGTCATTTCGCATCTTTAAATTGGCTGTTCTACATATTGAGACCTTTGGAATTTGCCTTTTAACATTGATGCTTCAATGGCCAACTGGGTAACATTGAAATATCCACTGATTTTCATTACAGTTATTAGACTGAGTTACGATGGGAAATACTCAAGCTTTAGAAAAAAGATATATCTAAATCGTCATATTTTTGTGACTTTAATACCTCTAGGAAAAATTGTAAATTGGGAGCTATCCATTGTCTACTCGCAGTAGTTCTGATAGGCAATTTAGGTTATAATCATCGATAGTCTCAATCTGTATGAACCCAATTACAAAATCTATTTCATGGATGAGAATTTTTAATTTCCATAATCTTGAAATTAGCGAGGATGCACTTTGAACATCTCATGTAAAGCAAGCCAGAAGCACCAGAAATGACGAAACAACATGCAAGACTAATTAATTGTTACATTTGATTGATGCAACAAATTCTCAAAATGTGCTATTTTCATGTTGATATTAGTTACAATCCTTCACATCATTTTTTCAATCCCCAGCAAAGGAATCGCAGTATGTTTTGATATATTAACAAGGATCTTCCATATGCTTCCACATCATGCATGTGGCTCACTAACTCGCCTGGGATAGGCCCACAGCTTGAAGACTGATCCATCAACTGAGTCATCTGAATCACTATCACTATCCGAGGAAGGTATGGACTCCTCTATTACATAGTCAACAATCTGACAACGACAAAAGATATCATTGAGAAAACCTTGTAGGACTACTTGAGATGGTGAAACATACATAGTAATGAAATAAGAAAATCTGAATACACAGTGCTGAGGAGACAACATTCACAAACCTGTTCAAGTGACACAGGCATGATCTGATGTTCATCAGAAATTTTCCCATCGTATTCATTGGAACACTTGGAATTACTCAACCAAACAATTGAATTGCACTGCTTGCAAAAGCCCCTCTGGGATGATACCTTGTTTGAAATACCTGAGTCAAAACAGATAGGTATATAAAAAGAACCGACACAGAAGAAAATTTGGAAAGGAAAAAGAAAACAAGCAGACATAGTAAAGACCTCTCTGAATGAAGGAAGACAAACGATAATTCTAAAATAGTCCAAGTGGTCTATGAACCATGCAACATGGAAAAAATAATGAAAACCATAGCTGGAAATGTAGTTCCATCTAACCAAAGTGGGATCACAGCCAATGGAAATACCTCTATAACCTCGCTTGAAAGCATCTTTCCAGTCAACATTATCTGCAGCGGTATTTCCCGGAGTAAAAGAAATTCTCTCCACACCGTTAGTAAACCTGATAATGTTTGGGATGTCACTTGACTTCCCAAAAAAGCTAATATGTATAGACTGCCAGAGATGATTGTCACTAGCTGCCACACTCCATGACCTGCAAAGTTAGACACCTTTTGAGATACCATCTGATATGGTAATTGATTAACGGAAAATATAATTGGCAAGACAGATTTTTGGCACGAGCAACAAAAATCAGGTATTTTCGGTGAAAAGTTAAGGGTGTTTGGATAAATTCATTTATTTCGTGTACCTAAATTATCCTCAAAAGTAAAACCATTTTTAATACTTTTAAAACCACAACTGTTTAAAACTTAAACCACTTCTGAAAAGCTCAAGTTGTAATTATTATTTATTACCCGTGTCTTGGCAATTCGTGCCAAAATTTTGTCTTGCCAATTAGCAGTACTTAATTCTATGTAGGCATCTCTTGAACATTGGACCTAGTCCTCTATGTGATTTAATCAATGAGTACTGCTAATTGGCAAGACAGAATTTTGGCACGAATTGCCAAGACACGGGTAAATGACGAAAATGTCCCTTTGGCTTCAAAACTGCTTGTATTTCCCTCCAAAAAAGAAAACCATCTTTGACATTTTAATAATTATTTACTCTCTCTCTTACTTTACTCTTTTTATCTCCTTCAACTTCACTCTTCACTCTCATCCGTTCTTATTTTAATTTGTTGATCAAGAATTTATTTTGTTGTTGGATTTATAACATAAGTATATATAGTTCTTTAAATAACATGATTCCACAATACTTTTGTAGCTTAATTTCACTCTTCATTGGAATATTTCAATGTTCAACCATTTGTATTTACGGTATAAACTACCACTAAGTCAAATGGTCAAATTTGCACATTCTTGCCAACTACAATATATAGAAGTAGGGGTGTACAAAACCGAACCGAAAACCGAACCAAATCGCAAATCGAGTCAAACCAAAAAAAAAACCCGACTAGTGGTTGGTTTGACTTGGTTTGGTGTTAAAAAAAAAAACCGACTATATTTAGGTTGGCTTGGTTTTAGCTAAAAAAAACCAACCCGAGACCAAACCAACCCGACATTATATATATAATTTTAAAATTTTATTTTATAAATAAAAATATTTACTTTGATATAATTTTTAAATATTTCTTATACTTTTTTATAGTTTTTATCTTTTAATATATTATTTCAAGTTTGAAACTTAGAATTTTGAATAGTTCCATAAAGATTATATAGTCCATAGATGTTGGTAATTATAGTAAAACTTAAATCAAAATCAAATTAATACTAATGCAAAAAGAAAATCAATTTAACACTAAGAATGACAATAATATTGAATATTTGATCTTTGGTTTTACATTGGTTTAGACAATTAAAGTACATAATCTAATTTTAATTTTCTTTAATATTTAGTCATGTAACTAATACTTATTAAACTTATTTTAGCATGATTTAGTACTTTTAAATTATGATCATTTTCATTATGACTTGTTAATTTGCAATATTTGTTTTACGCGATTTCATTATTATTACTTTTTTTTGGATATTTTAGTGTCATTAATCATATCATATTGTGTTATATTTTTAAGAAACATCTTAGATAGTTGTATTTTGGTAGGACGATATTTTAGTGTCATTAATCATATCATTGTTTGTGTTGTATTCATAAGAAACACCTTAGATAATTGTATTTTGGTAGGACTGGAGAAATATTTGAAGTACAAGTAAATTATATGTTTGTATGAATACTTTAGCGAAAAAATTCGAAAAAACCTGAGGTTGAAAAACCCGAGTTTTATTGGTTTGGTTTATAGATTTAAAAATTCGACACAAATGGTTTGGTTTGATATTTGAAAAATCCGAACCAACCCGACTATGTACACCCCTATTTAGAAGATTGATATATTTAAATATAGGGTTCTTGTAAAAAAATTGACAAAAAACAAATATATTTGAACAAAGGTAGTTTAATCAACTCGGATTTGTCGTTGATTTATTATTCCAAATTAAAATTATGAACGAAAAGGAAACAAAAAACACTATCTAAAATGACAACGTATGGAGACCCAAACTTGGTAGAAATAGAAGTAAACCTTACCGAAAAAAAAACGAAAAAGCTCAATTAAGTATGAAATTAAATAAAAATTTCTCGGGCAGTGTGAAATAAATAATAATTACAACTTGGACTTTTCAGAAGTGGTTTAAGTTTTAAACAGTTGTGGTTTTAAAAGTATTAAAAATGGTTTTACTTTTGAGGGTAATTTAGGTACACGAAATAAATGAATTTATCCAAACGCCCTTAACTTTTCACCGAAATTACGAAAATACCTGATTTTTGTTGCTCGTGTCATTTCGTGCCAAAAATCTGTCTTGCCAATTATATTTTCCGTTTAATTAATGCAACTACTTAAGTTGGATAAGGAAAGCCTCATACCTGCAGACTGAAGAAGCAGTAACAAGAGACTTCAAGTCTAAGAAACCAAATACGTGTACAAGAACATCCTCAGGAAGTTGGCTCCTACCTGGAATGCAAATGCAGCACTACAAAATTAGAATGCAGTGAGCAGATGCAGAAGTATTAAGAAATGTTTGAAAAAAGGATGCCATATTGGGTGTCATCCTAGATAACTTTATATGAAGCATATCTTATAAAAGATAATCGCAGTAGGAGGAACATCTATACTGTGAACAAGCATATATATTAGTGAAAGATATATACACTGTGAACAAGCATATCTTGTACAAATGTGTATAATAGTGTATAAGAGGTATTTATACATATTTTTACATTGTTATACATAATTATATAATATAAAACATATATAATATGTTTAAATAATGTATCGAACTCGTACAAGTATGGAAAAAAGTAAATTCACAGTGAAAGATAACCCAACTGCTTCAACTATTTCTGAACAGTGACATGGTAGTACTTGCAATTATTCTACAGAATAGTGCTCAACAACTGCTTTTGGTGAAGAAATATTTGTACAAAGTAGTTGATGGAGGAGCCACTTCTTTTGCCAAAAAAGTGGGCTATCATGGGTAAATTTAGAAAGTTGAGCAAAAAAATGTAATAATTATATCTCAATGTTCATACAACGTAAATTTCCCATTAATTTATTTTTAAATGATTTATAATGTGGGTCTAAGCAACTGGGCTGAGAGATTCAAGTTGATGCTCAGTAGGAGGAACATCTACACTATGAAAGGTGCTTTATGTGTCAGATGGACGCAGAAAATGTGAGACATCTTATTCTTTACTGTAAAGTGCCGCAGACATGTGGAATATGTTTTTCTTAAATTTTGGACTAGCCTAGATCATGCCTAATAGTATTGAAGAAGCATATGAAAGCTGGTGTTTGTGGAGAGTTGGCAAATGCATAAAAAAAAATCGGCTAATGGGATATCAACTCCAAACCAAGCCCTCAAAGGCTATGTGTTTGCTTAATCTTTTTAATTGGCTCAATCAGGCCCATGCTTCCAGTTGTGATCATTTTTTGTACTGCGTTTACTCCTTAGTTTTTACATAGATTTTGTACACGAGCAGGCTCACTTTTTACTTGTATCCCTTTTTTGTTATGCATCTTCATGATGCCTTTTAATGAAAGTCTCTTGCTTCATAACAAAGAAGGGATGCCATATTGGATGATTCTCTACAACTATTTAAGCAAATCATCTGTTATTAACATTACCATTCCTTATTAAAAACTACATCAGTTTTAGCTGTGCCATGAGGGTTGGTGGAAGCAGTACAACTTTGAGTTTTAACTGTTCACTGGAGGATGAACTTTTGCCTCACTAAGCAGTATACTACACTATCCATCTCTCCACTAATGTGTTCCCCTATACAGGGAAAAAGAGAGGCGGAGGGATGTTCTCATCTAAGGCCTCTCAGAACTTGACACTCGAACATCTCTTGAATTTCTTTTCCTGGGGGTTTGGGGGTGGCGAGAGATGTTGTTTGCATTTCAGAGTTTTGGAAATAACACTTTTCATAAAACATAACAATGGTGGGCAGACCAGCTTGCACGTACCTCGATTAATTCCCCAGGGTACCTGATACCTCCCACCAACATAGGTATGGTAACTCAGTCCAAGTTCTGGAAATAAGTCTACTATATCAAAATTTTGATTATGAAAGTGCTGTCAACTCTAGTCCGTCAGACACAGCTGCAAGTTGAAATCTAAAATGGCCTTGCAAGAAAATGTCACTATGGCAGGAAAGCAACGCAAAGGAGCTACAGGTGTCCTAATCCAGGGTTTCACAAAGAGGGATTCCACACCAAAAGCACTAAATGAGTCTAGTGATATTTTTATTTAGAACACATGTTCAATTAAAAGTACCTTCTAACACTGGTCGGACCTTCCTACGCCTCCTATGAGTAACCATAGCCTGTTTGAATTCAGATGCAGCTAAGGCTTTCTTTTGTTTTGGTAATGCAGCTTCCATGCTTTGAAGCAAGCCATGTGCTGCTGATATAGCCGCTTGTGTCTGCATTCTGAAGTGACAAAAACATTAAATATTAAAGTTCCTTTTACTTGGAGTAGCAAAAATATCATTAAATACATGCCAACAACAAAAAATTTCATAAACAAGGAACATCTGAAATTTTCTTTTCTCAATATCAGCAAATTAAGTTATCTATAAAATCTTCTGATTCAGGGACCTCAAACAAAGTACAGAGGATTGCATCTCTTGTTCAATATGGCAGGGCTCCGTCAAGCCCTTATTAGCAGCAGATGCTTACCATCAAGAAAACAGGAAAAGGTGAAAACTTGGTAGCTAGTGTCTTTATATGGTCGACCAACACATTAACACAAGTGACAAGTCCCACAGCAAATGTTGATCAACTATGTCATTAATTACCAAAGTTACAAGTTTAGCTACATGCTTCCCCATTTCTTGATATGTACACCAGGAACTTCGAATTCTCAACTGTAGTAATGAACAATTTCCTAGTGAGTGAAGAGGAACCAACCAATCCTTACTATTTAAGTACACGAAATTGAAGTTGGAGAATCAGGCAATAGCTAGTAATCACTTACAACTAATTCCTAACTCTTTTTTTTTTTTATGATGAAGTATAAGTGTACAACTAAATTCCTAACTACTTCTCTCTCACCCTAACCTTTCTTTTCTTCCATTGTTGAATTGCAGGAGTTAGAATAGTTTACAATGGTGTAATACTTCCATTTACTCATGGATTAATAAAAGTTTTCCAGTTCTCAATCTCTTTTCATCTTTCAATTCTTCAGTACATAACAAATCATGAGCTGTTGATGAGAATTAAACTTTTCTACCAGTTAATTCATTAGTCAATTATGCCTCAAACCCCAAATTAATTAAGTTGACAACATGAAATCCTGTTCATTGTAGATACACTGGCTCTGTACAGAGCGGAGTTACAATCCTATTAATCGAATGAAAGAAAATAAAAGGGGAAACCCATTTAATTTTCAGGTAAACTATGCAGTAATTTCGAATGAAAATTGACGAAGAAGGCGTGACTTACTCAGGGAGGAGACCAAAGGCGGCGAGGGAGTCTTGGAAGATGAGAGATTGCAAATTTTTGGGAATTCTGGAATATGCATTTCTTAGAATAAGGCTTAGCTCATCACAAGCAATTGGGTAACGATAGGGTTGATTCAACGACTCCTTTAACCCTAGTTTTTGATACCTCTCCATCATTGAACCTCCCATCTCCACTATTTCGAGCCAAACCAACACATTAGATCGTAAAATTTATATATCCCGTGTATTTGGGGAGCTACAGAGTCGGCGCCGCTTGCTTTCAATGGCGATTGAAGATCCAAAGATGTGCGTAAACACGAAGGATGATTGATTTTCTGGAGTTTATTGGTTCGCAAAACAAACTACTTGTAGCATTTGTCTGCGTATATAAATACTCGTGAGTTTTGATATATTCCTTCCGTCTAAGTTTTGTTTTTCTTAGAGTCAAACTATTAAAAGATTTAACTAATATTTTAAGATGTAATTTTTCGTCGTATTGATATGTAAAAAAATTGTAATAATTTATAGTACTTGCCATATAGTTTTTGAATATCTAAACGTTTTGTCTAAAATATCGAATTAATGTAATTTAATTTAACTTTGAAAATTAGTCAAATTGACTTTTGAAAAGCGCAACATGAAAAATGAAAATGGACGGATGGAGTTTATATATAGTTGTCTCATACTACCTCCGTCCACTTTTAATTAGTTAATAACCTTATTAAATTAAGAAAATATTAATTAATTTTTCCTATATTATCCTTGTAACTAATTCTTTTTGAAAGTTTAAAAAGTTTTTAAGGGGTAGATTAGTAAAATCATTTTCTTATTTATAATTTCTTAAGTATCGTGCAAACTGGAAAATGATCAACTAATATGGAACAGAGAAAATAATATTTTATGTATATTTATCAAATATCAGAAAATGTCGAATAAATTTCTTACATTCATGTTTCACCTAAATTGTGAACGTAAGTATGAAAGTAACTTATTTTTCAAAAATATATTTGTATTGAAAGATATTTTCCTTCGTAACACACACCCTTAAACTTGGTAATTGCCATACTAATATTTTCTTGTATTAAGTTTCATGAACAGGTAGAACTTTAAACTATTATGATAGCTAAATTGGATGAAATATGTTTCTCATATTAAGTTTAGTGTGATGATTTGTATTATCAATTATCATACCTATGATTTTTTTAAAATATAATTAACTAGGCAAGTGTAAACTCGTTCATAAAAATCACCGGACAATAGGCAAGTGTAAACTTGTTCATATACTTTCTCTATCCCATTTTTTTATATGAGTTATTTTGACTTGACACGAAGCTTAAGAAAGAAAGGAAAACTTTTGAAACTTATTGTCTAAAAATACTAAATAAGTAATAGATATTTATGTGGATATAACCTATAAATAGTTAAATTATTACTTGATATAGAAATGTGTCGAAAGAATTTTGCATGAAACAAGTGGCAGCTATCACATTCATAGTACATTGACTTCCAAAATAAATTTCAAAAAAAAAGAATCAAATCCGTGTGTTCCAAATGACAAATATATTAGTTCCAAGAAACTGGAGATTGATAAATTACAACAACTGTATACAACACTAGAATACACTATTACATGGAATCACTATTGATGAACAAAATCATAACTTGCTCTGAGATTTCCAAGCCCCTGTGCCTTTTCAATTGCCACACCAGAGATCATCTTTGATATCCTACAAGACTGTTGTGGGGCAAATGTTGCTCTAAGCAGAACAGACGCTGTATTCTCCTTCCTTTTCTCTGACCATGCGTATACAAAAGCAAGCAAGCAAGCCTTTGACAGACACATTTCATGCATATTCATGTCACACCCTCGGAAGTGGAGACCAGTTGGCACAGGTTCAAGTATCTCTACCTTAGTTTCAGGAGAATGGGGATTTGATTCTGAAGGTTATGCAGTGATCATGGTTATCACCCCTTTCACGAAAAATAATGCAGACAATCATTTCTTGATGCATAGATTTGACGACCTAAAGGAAATAAGATAACTGCTGCTTTTTCCTAGAACCGCCTTCTCCATATAGGTCATTCCACTGCTTCAGCTCACTCATTACGGATCCTTCAGAAGCAAAGCTTGCAGCAACCTAACCAAAGAAGTGATTCGTGAAGATCTGTGTGCAAATCCAAAATGAATGCAACAATAAAACTGAAGGAAATAAGTCCTTCGCATGCATTATTTGTAAGTATATATTTCCTGCTTCTGTGATTCCACAAAAGAAAACTAGGTTCATATTGTAGTCCTTCGCATGCATTATTTGTAAGTATATATTTCCTGCTTCTGTGATTCCACAAAAGAAAACTAGGTTCATATTGTACTTTATGTTAGAAAAACATGATCCTGCTAAGAGATACTGTAATGTCCATGAGAGAGTATAAGGAACCCTATCTTATTTATAAGGATAGTCTATCCAAGAAAGTTTGTGTACTGAAAACTGAAAAGTTTGTGTAGCTATGAATTCAGATGACAGGACCAAAAAAAAAAACTAAAGAAAGAACTAAATGCTTCAGATGGTCCAATCAAAAGAGAACAGATTCATCTTTATATTATGGTTAGGAATCCTTGTTGTTTTACAAATACTCAACGGACCCACAACATAAGGACTGGTTACCTGATTCTTTGCCTGTCTCATGTCCTCCATGTTTAGAGGCCTCAAAGTAATTACTCTTTCTTCCGCAGCTTCTTCTTTCTCATCTGAATTACCTTCTGCACTCTGCCCTTCTTCAGCACTCCGTTTCTTTTCCTATGAGAAAGAAAGAATAAATAAGAGAACACAAAGCATACATAATAAAGCAGATAGTCAAAAAAGGTTAAGTTGAAGAAGAACAGTTGGGAGCTAGACGCGTGTATTACCAAATCTTTCTTTCTCTCTTGTTGTATAAGCTCTCTGACAGGCCGATAAGCTGCTGTTGTGCACAAGTTCTGTTTTGGGAGATTAATGCTTTCAGTTATTACCAGATAATAAGCTTTATTCTTACATCACTTTGGAAAAAGAACTATCACAAACCTTAAGATCACTTCCACTATACCCTTCGGTCATGACTCCGAGCTCTTTAAAATCAAGATCTTCTACCTTTTCCTTTGCTAGAAGAGTTCTCAAAATCTTCTCTCTATTCTCAGCTGCAGGTAAACCGACCATAATTCTGCCCAACAGAAAACAAAATTTGAGAACATATGTCATTCTGCAACGTCATCATAAGCTGAAAAAGCTCATGATATTTAAAAATGAAAGTTCCCTTAATGTCAATCTATCAATAGGAACCACTGCACAGAGTAATATATCTATAAAAACAAATCGCCTTTTAATAAACAGACAGAAGATGAGGCAAGACTTCCTAACAAAGTCATTGAGGTAAGCAACATATCTCTGAGTCCTGAGACAGAAGACTTATTGTCACCAGGAGAATCGCTCCACTAGTCTAGCAGAAGATTATTTAGGAATTAACAGAAACACATAACAAATGCAGGATAACAATTCTGTAGATTTTCAAATTTATGCTCAAGGTAGATAATATCAATGAAGATGGCAATAAGACTATAAGATCTTCATCCAAGAGTGGAGAAACTTAAGGCCATCATCATGTAGTTCAAGCCAATAAGGAAAACGATCTGGCTTTCTTTCTGCCTCTTGTTTTTCTTTTTCCAGAATTTCTTTTTTGAGATGTAGGAAGATCAGCAGTGAAGTTTCAAAATGTATAACATACTGGTGAAAATCAACTCAAAGGACTGGAAAAAGCAATTAAGCTAAGTAAATGATTGGTGTCAAGCTGTGGAAGTACCTGCGCTCAAACCGTCTGATTATTGCTTCATCGAGGTCAAAAGGTCTGTTGGTTGCAGCAAGAACAAGAATGCGCTCACCTGGTTTAGTCAATAATCCGTCCCAATGAGTCATAAACTCATTCTTAATTTTTCGCATAGCCTCGTGTTCTCCAACTCTTGTCCGCTGCCCTAGCATGCTATCAACCTCATCCACAAAAACAATCGTTGGAGAAACCTTCGCTGCAAGTGTGAAAAGAGCTCGGACATTCTTTTCATCTTCCCCAAACCATTTTGAAGTAATGGTTGACATTGAGACATTTATAAAGCTTGCTCCAGCTTCATTGGCTATTGCTTTAGCCAGCATCGTCTTCCCAGTGCCAGGTGGACCAAAGAGTAGTATACCTCTGCAAGGCTTAAGCAGTCCACCGTTGAAGAGGTCAGGTCTTCTAAGAGGAAGCATGACCAGCTCCTGAAGTGATTCTTTCGTTTCATCTAGGGCACCAATATCTGCAAATGTCACTCCAATCTCATGTGAAGGTATGACCTCTGGTCTTATCCGCTTCTCGAATTCATTGTCAGGAATAACTTCCTGTAGATATCAAATTACACATTGAAGCAAAAGGCAGAAACACCAAATGAGGACTGAATTAACAAACAAAAATCAAGTTGGACCAGATAGTAAAAGATATACGAAATCAGAGAATAAAAAATGTATGAGCATAGTGTGACAGGATGTTGTTGAAACCAATAGATCAGCATTAACTTTTTCAGGCGAACACAAAGACATCCTAAATGTATTCAGCCTGACATTTGAGGGGAAAAAAGAAAGAATACAGCTATCAAGTTCAGCTATATCAACTTTTACCAACTGAAAGGTTCTCAGAAGAAGATTGTGGTGATATTTTATCAAGTGCTGCACATACCGGGGCCTTTGATGCAGATGAAATCTCTCCATCCTTTTTTGTTGAAGGTCCTGATTTTTCAGCCTCACCCTTACTCTCGGATGTGGGGTTCTCCGACTTTGATTCAGGCTTTAATCCAATATCATCCACCGCAGCATCCTATTTTTTATTGAAAAGAGATTAAAATCAATCTCATCTCAGTTAATTCCTCAATTTTCAACAGAAACGCTAAAATGCAAAAGAAACCTTGGACAATTCAGCATTCGCCTCCATTTTGAGGGAGTCTCTGCAACCACTCTTTCCGTCCTGGAAGACACCTAATCCATGGGACAAACTGTACCAGGAGCAGAAAAGTACACACGTGAAACATAAAGTATGCAAATGGAAAAAGAAGCTAATAACTATTGAAAGTTTGGCATGTACCTGTTAGATGATATGAGGAGCTTCCCATTTCGATATTCTGGATCCTTGCTGTTCATCAAATGATGTGATATAGCAGAGATAACAATTTCCTCTATGTAATTACTCAGCACCATTGTGTCAGCATGACAGATTGATCCTAGATCATCACATTCGAGGTCATTTGCTGCAAGCACCTCCGCAATGTGATTCTTGTTGTCTTGAAACTGGATCATCTTCATATCCTCTGCCAGTTGTGTTTTCCAGTCCGTAAGATGTGTCTCATCTTCAGGGGGACTAATCTCAATATTGTAAGGAAATAAAAGACTGAGTTTCTCATCTACTTCCTCACAATCATCTTCATGCTCAAACATCCTGGAGCCAAGAACCAACACTGATCCTGATATTTTTTTCAGCATTCGATCGAAGAGTTTATAAGCTCTGGGGGATTGAAGATGTCTGTCAACATCCCTGATGTAGAGAATAACGCGGCTGGTTTCAGAGATTGACACCAAAACCTGCAAGTAACCTCCTTGTTTAGTATCTGATTTCAGATGAAACAACCATAAAGTGAAAGACACTGAGAAGAACATATTCCATAACAACATGGATACAAGTTTGAAATCAAGAGATATTTATTACCTTGAAAAGTGACTGTAAGAAAGCCTTCTCATCTAATGACCAGCTGTTGACCCGCTTAATTGGAGCTAGATGAAGAAACAAGAACTGATCAGAAAATGATCTTCAATCGTAAGATAACTAATTACAGGTTAGTCAAAATTCAGCAATATGAATTTGACAGACGCAAATGCAAGAGATGAATCTAGAAACCCATTGCAGGTATAGTATCTGGTAAAGCTAGCTGACGGTTAGATAGGAAATTTGATGAGATTCTTCAACAAAAGAAACATTAAGATGCAAACCACATTATAGTAGCAAGAACATCAGAAGGGGGGAAAATGAGACTTTAATATAATTAGTGGATAGTCAAATCATGAATTTCTAAATTAACAACTTTCTAACAATTATAAATGAAAACTGCAAATGCTAGTGGACCCTGAACTCCATATATAAACATGCAGGAAGTAAATAGCAAAGCCATGACAACTTAATCAATTTCCTACAAGCGTCCCACCTGGATTTGAAGCAGACGACTCAGAGCTGATACTACTTATATCAGAAGACACAGAGGCGGTTCTGCGATGCTTTAGAGAGTTGCTGGCACCTTCCCTATTCCTGCATATTCCAAAGGTAAGAGTTAACATGATATATCAACTCCAAAAACCTGCATTTATATCTAAATGATGAATAAAACTAATATACCTTGATTTACTGTCAAACCCAACTGTTTGCCTTGAATAGGTGACTGCAAAAAAAGAGAATGAAACTTGTATATGAAGAGGATCAGGAAATGTAAAACAACATGAAAGTATCAAGCCTTAGATTTTACGTTCTACAATACTGGTTAGGTCTAGATTGAAATCAGAACCATCGACTCACTGGCTTCCGAGCTCCACATGAAAGTTAGCTGCAATTACTTGAACTTAACATTTCATTGTTTTTTGATGAGTTGTATGACCTTTACAGCCTCTGCAAAGTTCTCTACGATAAATTAATTCACCTTGGGACTTACGAAGTTAAAATCAGCTTTGGTTGCTTTTATTTTTCAGATACAGGACAGAAACAACTTGTGGGTGGATGTGGAATTTGCACTTCCCACAAGATTAAGGTACTGTAAAAGCTAGTGTGTACGAAAGCTACTATTTCATAATTTAATAAACATCTAGAACCTTCTTTAAATATAAGCATAAATAAAATCAGCAGATCTGGAGATAAAAAAAAGTTTGTGATTCATATCCTTATCTTTAAGATTGCAGATATATTCATTAATTGCAAATGTATAATGTTGTCACAAATACAGTCAAGTGTACCCAATAGTGAAGAACTATAGCCTTTCGTCATATACCTCCATTAGTCTCTCTTGCTGGAAGAATTGAGAACGAACCAAGCAAACTGGACAAACGTCCCAACGTAGACTCTGAGATTGACCTCTTGAAAACCTACAAAAATAAGATGCTGAATCAGGTAATATTCCATTAGGGGCAAAATGATTCCCTCTTACTTATACTGAAAGTGAATTCGGATTCAACAGTTACAGGAAACATGAAGAAATGGACCTGAAGACAACAATATTTTGCCCAACAAAGAATACAATTCTTCAATAGAATAAATGATAGTACTTACTGATTCTTTCTTGAAGATTCCATACTTGCTCTGCATCTGCAAATGGTTGACCAATAAAATAGAGTGAATAGAAGTATCAGCAGAAGATGAGTTAAAATACTGGAAAAGAAGGCCTCACACAGTACCTTCAGAGAGAAGTCAGTTAAATCCAATAGCAGCAGTTTAGCATCAAAGTGATGCGCCAAAGCCTTTGCGAGAGTTTGCTGGTAAAGTTCTGCATTCATGTATCAGAACACGGTCAAAGCGCTAAATACAGATAATAACATATAAAGTTGAAAATGATTTAAATGAGAAATCCATACCAGCAGGCCCTGAAAGTAATATGGCCCTACTTGCAGGAGAAAGATTTCTTGTATGTTTAGACACATCTAAGTGATTCAGATGAACATATGCTGCACTTGTTAATAATACCCGTGTTCGTTCACTGTCAAAGTCACATTTGAAGGAGATCAATAACTTTGATCCATTTTCAACATATATTCATCGAAATTATCAGAGAAGTAGAGTAACAGATATGTTGGAAAATATTTCAACTTTGACCAAGATATCAACTGGAGCCACCACAGTGTAGCATAACTCTCCAACAACAGAGAACATTTAGATGAAGGAGTGAGACTAGGAGAAACTAAGCAGAAAAGAAAAGCACATGGGTTTATAGAATTTTAGGTGTAAGTGTTAAAGGAATATGCAATACTTGACTTTTGTCAAACAAAAAGCTGTTGAATTCTTCTGCTTATAGTGATTGCACATTCGTCGATAACTTTGCTGTATTCATAAGAAACGCAGACATGCAAGCTCCATAAAATTCACAGGTTGCAAGTATTAGCCGGTGACACTATTTACCCATGATTAAAAAAAATATACATTAAAAATTAATGTAAATATAGTTGGTGTTGTACTTGTTCATATTTTGAACCCCTTAACGAAAAGTCCTTGTTCCACCACCACTGCCGATGGCTCATTATTATTACTCAAATCTGTTCAGGGGTTCAATTGAATCCCCAATATCATATATTTTCGGTTATTTGAATCCGCTTTGTATAAACTTGTACTTAGCAGAATAGTAAAAACATAGCCTTTTCCTATCCCTCAAAAGTGACACCAATTCCAATAAAAAGTGAAAATTAAGGTGAAAAGTGAATAAATTGCAGAGAGCTCCCAACTTAAGATCACATTCAAGCAGCCTGAATACAACTAATATCACGAGATCCAGGGATTCAATCCTTTTTGTAAACGAACATGTTTTAATGATCTTATCCTAATGAAAAAAAAAAGAAAAAAGGTTTACCTGAGATAATAAGGGAAGTCCTCAAAGGTGATTTTGGTAAGCTTGCCGTCAATAATTAGGCGTCGAAGTTCCTTTTCAATTTGGTCAGGTGTTATGCCTTGGGCGGCGTTTGTCCATTTATTAACGGCTTGTCCTGAAGCTAATCCAAGGCCAACTCCAACCCCTACGCTCAATGCCGATAACAATACGTGCTTCTGTTCCATATTCAACAAAATCACTTCTTCTGTTATCTCTGTATCTATCTATAAATAATAGTAATAAAATGTAAATGTGTGTATTATGAAGAAGAAGAAGATGAAATGTAGGGAGAGAGAGAGAAGTGGAAGGATTCTTTTGAAGACAAATAATGACAGGTAATGTAACAACTTGATGAATCGATTGATCCCACTGCGCGCTGTTTTTTCTCTCTCTGTATTTTTGTGTTATGCTTTATCTTCGTCTCAATTTATAGAATTTAAGAGAGAGAGAGGTGAATTCGGAACCCCATTGGGAAGCTTTGTTGACCTTTGGACTCAATGTACCAACTTTTTCATTTCTTTTCTTTTTTCCCTTTAAATTTGTTTATTTCTTGTTTTTGGACTGCTCTTACTTGGCAGACATCAAAATTTTACCCGATTCTATAAAGTGTGTTTAATTTCAATGGGCACTTTATAGATATTCATTTTCAATTAAGATTTTTTAAAGGTTACTTAATTCTAAATGCTAGTTCATGTTTATATAAATGGTATTATATATCTGGCATTTCAAATATCCCTGTTGGGATATTCATAAAAAGATCAAAGAGGTTTTAATCGACCTTAGTTTGAGAAATACGTCATCAAGGTCCTCTCGGATCATAGAGTTAATTGAGAGGGAAGAATCAAGATTCAAGGAACAAACATCAATAAAATTATGTTCCTTCATATTTTATTGGTGATTGTAAATTTTTTTTATCTTTTGTAAATTTATTGCAAACATCATTTTCCTTGTTTTTGAAAAATTTATTGTTCTAAAAAAAGTATCTTGATCAATCAAGTATAAAGCAAATAAAAAGACATTTTTCTCAGTACCAGACACACTTTGACTAACTAACACATTTGTATTTTATTTATTTTTTTGAAACGTTATTTTTTTTCATTTATCAAAATTCTCATTTGAAAATATCACCGATAATTCAGCCCGAGTACCAAAGCTTAATTAAAAGTAGAGTCAATAGCTGCCTATTTTGTGATCTCAGTTTTAATTACTTCTCAATCTTTCTTTTATCTTTTATTTATTTAATAGAAGAAGAAAAAAAGGAGCAATGTGATTTTTTACTTTTAAATTATTCGCATGAGATATCGGTAATATCACCAAATTTTCCTTCGTGTTTAATGAAAGTTTATAGGGACACCAAACTTCAAGGGAAAACAAATTATTTAACCAAACTATGAAGAACCATTTAGTGAAGTTTGGTGTTAATTCACAAGAAGTATACCTTTTCATGCATAAGTCAACCTAGTTTAAAGAATATATATTTGAGAGAGTTAAATGGATTAAACTATTACTAGTATATTAACAAAAAATTTGTTCAATATTTACATTTCTGCAAAAATTATTGTCAATTTTCTCACATTTGTTTGATCAAAATGGTAAAGTCTACATATACTATACTCTTTTCAAACTTTATTATTGAGACCATATTGCATTAAAAACAAGTTTCTTAAAAATAAGAAAAATATTTTTTATAATGAAAATAGGAAAAACAAGTTTCATGATCAATGACATTTCAAGTTTATTGTCTCATGCTCACCTTCCAACGCACTTCATCTTAATCCCCACCACACCCGTAGCTCCCATTCTTGTCACCCCACACTTTACCCATCTGTCATAATATTTGTCTAGATTATATACGAATTACTATTAGGATAAATCTTTTTATCAACATATCGACACAAAAACAAAAATTTACTTGTTTTTTAAAAAAAAACGTTTATATTTTCCTTCGTGTCGAACACACCTCTATAGCAGGTTACTTCTAATGATAATGTTAAACATAAATTCGATGAATAAGAATTGAGATTGCATTCCAAACTTGTGACAATTCTAAATTTATCATTTCGAGAGTTAGAAATGTCAACATATGGGTAAGTGATTAATATGTCAACATATGGGTAAGTGATTAATCTACTTATTGCTTAATTCAAGACTACATTCGTTTAATTAATTAATTGATTAATTATAATTTATAAAGCCGTCATTACTTTACGTGGACGGTTGTAAAAGCTTACTTGGGCACATGCATTGCTTCTTCTTATAACTTTATTCCTTTTCTTTTGTACCTTTCCACATATGATGAAGACTTAATTAATTTGCATGCACTGCTACAAATGTGTAACACTACTAAAAACAGTAAGAAATTTATGTTATACAATATCATTTTTCTATTCATTTTCTATGAAATAGCTTACTGAAAAAAATATATGATAAAAAATAATTTTTTATTGAAATAATGGATAACTTACTATTTTTTCGTACGAAAATATTAATATTTTTTCTTTTTTCACTGATTCAATTAATTATTTTTTTAAATGAAAATAGACTCTAAACAATTTTTTAGTGGGAATATAGTGACTTTTTAGTAGTAAGTAATAACAAAGTAATTTTAAATAGTTATGTACTATGGTATTTTTGGAGAGGGTATTTACATTTTACATATTATGAAATGCTTTCTATATCTATCTATTAATTAACTGAATATTGAATTAGAAATGGTTGAGTTGTAAATTTGTCGCCTTATATGTATAAAAGCTCATTTTAGTGATTGTACCAACTTCTAATATTTCTAATTAAGACTAATGATTAATTATAGACGCATTAATAAGTACTTAGTGGTCCAGACGTATATTTCCTCTTTCAGTACTAGTACAACTTGCAAGTCCCAATTATTGTAAAATTGTACTCCACTTTTAACGATTATTAATTTATTATTATACATAGGTTTGCAAGTTGCTTAGTAAGCAAGTAAAAAAGAGAGAGAGAAAATTCATATTTGAACATTTTTTAATTAAACTATGTACAAAGTTCTTTTTCTGACATTTTTGCGATTAAAGAAAAGCAATGGGGATAATCACTTACATGTGAGATTAGAAGAGATGCCATTTGGGGATTATCCTTAATTATGTTATTTTGAAAAACATTCATACCTCGAGCTAGCTTTTAAAATTAAATAAATCAATTATAATATTCATTTTTGTAATACAACATTAGAATCAGACTTTTTGTTGTTCTTAAGTTTATCAATATTAAAGCAATTAAACTCAAATTTAGTGTTGTTGTACCATATATGTGGAGTATATATATAGTAAGGTTAGCAAAGTGTGACAAGTTGAAATAGAAGAAGCCAACCCTAAGAAAATGACAATGGTGGGCGACAATTTAATAATTAAAAAAAGGTCGATAGGTACGTTACCACTAGACAACATAAAACATGTCCATTTTATTTATTTTTTCTTCATATGGCAGTATGGTCCAAGTAAATGGTGGTTTAACTATTAACTTGGACAGTTACACTGTGAGCTGGTCCTCTTCAGATCTGATGTTTTAACCAATAATAATAATATAATATGGATGAGTTACGTTGTATTTTTATTTTTTATTTTTTTATTTTTCGATTCTTACGAGTTTATTATAAGTTTTTGTTACCACAACTGTCTAATTCATGCCGTTAATCTACTTGTTATCGCTTAAATAAAGATGTCAAATTGTCAACTTGATCATGGATATTTTTGCAAATATTAACTAATAAAATTTTATTTTATTTTATGATGAAAATTATTGTTTCCATCAAATTTATGGTAAGCTTCTTTGACTTCCACTACTAGAAACATAGCGTTTTTCATTGCGAATTAATGAAAAATTAGTTTGTAAAACATGTTTTTTCCATCCATTTTTACAGTTGGGCTAGTTTACTGTAAAAATGCATTATGCAAACATATTTTGACTGAAATATTAAATAGTGATTTTTAATAGTGAATATAAAAATAATATATCCTTTGGCTACTTAAAATTAAATATTTGACTGGCCAATTTTATGGCCAACTTGCCGTTTTATATTACTTATCTTAATTCTGATCTTTGCAGAATCTACATCCAAATTCAGATTTTCGTCTAAATAGAAAAATGTTTATCTTTAGAACTTCAAAATATATAGCTAATTATTCGTTCATTTTTTTAATTTCTGCTAGTAGTTTACCAAATTCTAGTACATCAATCTCATAGTTGTTAAATGTATAAACTTATCATAATGGATTAAACCTGTATACACTTGAGTACAATATTTTTCTTTTGCACTATTGGTGTATTGTTAAACTAATTAATTGTAGCAGTAATTCAAGATTTTTTAATTAGAAAATAGCCAAAAAACTCCTCAATCTATTAGCCAATTCTCAACTACATACTTATTCTATACGGGGTCCTATACCCCCTGAACTATTTAAATATGGAATAATCACCTCCCTAAAAAGTCATAACCAGTTTTTCAAAGCTGTGCAGCACACGCGATGAATCACTCTACATTCATTTTTTTTTTCTTGTAAATTATAAACCTAATCAAAATAATAATTTAATAATACCCTGTAAAATTATGTAAAGTTTCCATTTTTATCAAACCTGGAAATTAAAATTTTAAAAAAATGTTTTCAAATAGAGATTGTTTTTTCAAAATACTAATGATTTCTTTAGAGAATAATAAGAGAAAATGA